CCCGTATACTATTCCCTTTGTCAGACGGTATGTTACTTGCCCGAGACTCGATCGTCGGTATCCCAATACCTCGTTCAGTCTCGTTACCGGCAAGTCACTTTACTCGTACCGTAATGCATGATCCCGTGACCAGACACTTGGTCACTTTGAGATCATTATGATGATGCACTACCGAGTGGGCCCAGTGATACTTCTCTGTAACACGGAGTGACAAATCCCAGTCTCGATCCGTGTCAACCCAACAGACACTTTCGGAGATACCTGTAGTGCACCTTTATAGTCACCCAGTTACGTTGTGACGTTTGGTACACCCAAAGCACTCCTACGGTATCCGGGAGTTACACGATCTCATGGTCTAAGGAAGAGATACTTGACATTGGAAAAGCTCTAGCAAAACGAGCTACACGATCTTGTGCTATGCTTAGGAATGGGTCTTGTCCATCACATCATTCTCCTAATGATGTGATCCCGTTGTCAATGACATCTAATGTCCATAGTCAGGAAACCATGACTATCTGTTGACCAACGAGCTAGTCAACTAGAGGCTTACTAGGGACTTATTGTGGTCTATGTATTCACACGTGTATTACGATTTCCGGATAATACAATTATAGCATGAATAAAAGACAATTATCATGAACAAGGAAATATAATAATAATCCTTTTATTATTGCCTCTAGGGCATATTTCCAACACATAGTTCTCCAAAGAAAGATTTTTACCTTGGCTAGCACTTTGAGACCCCAGATCTTATCCCAAGTTGGATGTGGTTTCATACCCAATGCTTGATGGCCTATGTTTAATCTTCGGCCATATTGGCCCTCCCCTTCTCATAATATGCTGAACGCACAAAAGAGGTGTCCGTATGAGTTAGGTTCCAAGAAACAAAGTCTTGCATGGCAGAAGATGATAAAGGATACCAAAAATCCTTTGAACATCCACTTGCCAAAAAGTCGGTCTCACTAGATCCACATCCCAGTGATTTGTGTTGGGATCAATAAGGTCGCTCACCCGATTAAAAATGTTCTGGCCCCTTCTAGTTATAACTTCACGTGATGCAATATTTGGGATCCATTTGTCTTTCCAGATATCAATATTAGTTCCATCTCCCTCACGCCATATATGACCATGTTTTGGTATATTAATCCCAGCTCATATACTTTGCCATGTAAAAGAGCTCCCTTTTTTCAACTCCACGTTCAACAAATCTCCTTGTGGTGTAGCAACTTTGTTCGCCTTGAAGATGGCTTTGGGTTGATCTTTGTATTCATTTTGTCAGAATCTGCTAAATAAATTAATAAAGATGGTTGGATGCATCACTTTCATGCAGAGACCGAAGGCAATCCTCCTTTTCGGAAAAAAAGTATCACAAGTGACTCCAATAACACATATAACGAAAAGGAGTTATTAGTGTTCTAAAGGTCCCTGCCTACACAGAGAACCCCTAAACCACAAAACAAACTAATTTTGGAAGGACAAGAATGCGAGAATAAACATATAATAGCATTTTCTAGGTTAAAGGTGCAACATGCAAACTTCTACTATTCGGTCAACAAGTAAATAAACTACAAGGAATACATGTGCACCAAAATAAGCAAGTTCAGCTGCCTCATCAAAAGTCAAGTAAGGTACTGGTATCATATTTGCATAAATATTTGGATCACACATCAACACTGCAAAATTGCATAGATTACTATAAGTCAACCACCCATTATTCATTGCTTTTAAGTTTATTTGGGCAGCATGCAGCATGCTACAACCATCATTCACGGCATCCTACACGGGCCCTAGCCTCACGGCCTCGCACAGGACCACACACATGCACTGGTGAAGCTATGTACAACTCTGGGGGCAACCC